TAGTTGCGTGAGTGTATGCAAGATGTGTGTATTTTGATACCGATATACAACAATTCAGAAACGGCGACAATACGACGAGAATCAAAAAACACAACTTGCTGCCGGAGAGTGCAAGAACTAAATGATTAAAGTGTTCGATTGCCGCCAGGATAACTGCAGCCAGGACTTGGCGGCAGCGCTGCCGCGTCGCAGTCCGCGACGTCAGCAGCGGCAGCTCCTCGTCTCCTCCAATTGGCGTACAGTTGAGCACGGTGGTCCCAAAGAGAGTGGAGCAGCGGGAGCGGGGCGGAGAGAAGAGGGGCGAATGCACAGCATAACTGCGTAGTTTTGCACTGGCATGCACAGTGGGCCAAAGCCGAGCTTAAGAGGGACTTGGGTGCAGGAATCGAAGGGGGCATCGTTGAAGTTTATTGGATCCTGAAATTTTGATAATGACTTGATCACTGGAACTTCGGTTTGAAAGTTTGGCAACCTTTTTCTTCTTTAATTCCAATTTTACAAAGCTGAAGAAATTCGAAAATAAATAAAAGCATAACGCAAAATAAACCATTTTGTAAAATTAAACATTTTAAAATGCCCTGGAGATTTTGGGTGTTAGAACAGAATGAATATTAAGCATGTTATTGCTTTTGTTCATTGTTACCTTAGCTAAAATGTTTGATTTTGTATAGAAACTCGATCTATTGCAATTCTAATCAAAATATAAGGCCATTTGAGGTTTTAAATATGGTTTCTGTTTAGGTACTTACTCTTATGCACTACTAATCAAAATTTAAGCAAAAAAAATTGAAACCATATTTTGAATGCACTTGTAATGAAGTATGAACCCGATCCTGACACATGACAGGATATTGTGTTTCAACTACACATTCCAAAAAACTATAGTACATGAACTAATATGGATTTAAAAATATTATTTTCATATATTTAAATAAGGAGTTAAAGTTGTATCCATTGTACCCCACGAAAATTAATGGAGGGAAAGAAGAAGATAGAGTCAAAGGGACTGCAAATAATAAAAAGCTGCAGCCGCAAGTTGCGCAGGCTGCAACAGCTCCGGCAACATAACGGTACTCTCTCACTCTCTCTCTTGGCTCGGCACTTAACCGATGTACCCTACATTTGCCTTCGCAAAACATAAACAAGGAAATGCAGCCGTGAACACGAAACGAATTGCGGTAGGTTCTCCGCTCGGGAGAGCGAGCCCCAAAGGAGAGCCTGATAGCGGGACAGAGAGAGGGAGAGAGCCGAGTTTTGTAAGCCGGCCGCATTGCTGTTGTTGGAGCTGAGAGCCGAAAAGGCACCCAAACAAACACTTAAGCAACAACAACCACGGCAGCTGACTGAACCAAAGGTCCAGGGAGGTGGCAAGTGGGGCTTGGCAGCAAAAGAGAAAGAGAGAGCGAAGAGAACATAGGACGAGCTCAACTTGACATCATCATCATTTGTGTCAAAAGACCATTGAACTCTGCGAGCGGAATGGAACACCCATCTCCACCCCCAGCCAGCCGCCCGCAAGTATGCAACAATCCCTCGCTCTCCTTATTTATATGCGGTTTGTTTTGTTGCTGTTTGCTCACAATAACAACCCACACGCACGCAATCGTTTATGCTTAGGTGTTGCCACACAATGCCTCCAAAACTGTTAACCCCTAATAATCGAATATCCAACGCTCTTTCCATTATTATGAGCTTGTTTAGAATATACAACGTACTAGCCTGGGTTTTCTAAACTTTGGTGTTTTCTGTAGGAACATTTTTTTAAGGCTTGTTTTTTTTTTGCTTTGAAGTTCATTCTGGAATCATTTTTAGCTTGGCAACTTTACCCAAACAAAATAAAAAAAAGTATTACAACTTTTTTTAAGTTTTTAGTTTAACAACACTTTTTTAATTTAAGCAACCAAAATCGATTAAAGAATCAACTAAACATTTAAAAAGGTTATTTTTTTTAATCTCTTTTGAGATTGCTTAATACTAACTTTTAAGCCCGAAAAAGCAAGCAGGTTCAAGAAATATCAATATTACTCTATACTTTCTTATCAAGTCGTCCAATGTTATGACAATAGTTTCTATTGTATACTGTTGAATACACTGGAAATAAGTGGTTTAAATGTGGTTTTCTTTAATGGTAATGGCCACTTTATCTATACCTGCTTGATTATTTGAATACTAGTCGATTTGTATCGATAAGAATCAATAATTACTGGGTTTTGATTTACATATCTATATATTTTACTGTTTTCACCTTACCTTACTTGTTGTTGATATCTGGTCTGAATGTGGGAGTAATGTTACTTCCATATCTGGGTTCCAGCAAAGGTCTTAGGTTTGGGTTCCTAGAATTGCGGTCTTGAGTTGGGAGAGAATTCCCCTGCCAATTTTGAAAACTCCAACGTGCATGCCATTGAGTTGAAACGATAGTTTGGTTGCTTGAATTGATAAAGTGGTTAGCTTTCCACTGTTGGTGACTTCGAGATGTGATCCCATATTTCCAGTGATCGGCCTGTCCATATTCGAAACTCCCTATTTTGGTGGAAGTCCAGGACTGAGTGACTAGTGGTCGGTCCAAGATCAGGGGCCTCTTGGCGGGCGTAAGAACGTGGCTTGGGAACATCTTTGGGGGCAACGACAATTGTCTGCCGGGTGCGCCATGCTGCATCGTAGTTTTCTGAGAGATATCATCATCTTTGACTGGAACCGAAACCCAATGATCTGGGTTGGCGGCCCCTTCCTCACTTGTGCATTCAGACACGTGAGAACGTTTTCTTAGACAAGTCATATTAACATCCTTAGGTGCCGGATTCGTGTTGTTCAGAGCTGGGATTTTGGCCAGCGCCTTCGATCTTTGACGCTGAAAACGCCTACGTTTGGATCGAAGGTACTTCGGAGATTCGCCAACAGAATCGAAAACTTGCTCCTGATTGGACATTGTTTCAAATTCACTTTTAATAAATGGCGAGTGCAAAAACGTGGCAACTAGTTCCAAGAAACGAACGAAGGCGCAAGCGCTGCCAACTTTCGCAGCTGCCAGGCAAAACAAACACTTTTAGGCGAGTTGGCAGTGCTGCAATATCTTTTTTGGTGGCTTACCAACACTGTTCGATAAGCAGTTAGATGATATTCACCGATTTTTCAAAATGATTCAAATTATTATAATTTATTTCCTAGTTATAGTTAATCTTTCTAAAATCCCCTTGGATGAATTCTCCTGAATGTATTCAGGTATTCTGTGTTCTCTCACCAGGTAACATACAAATAAAAAGTGATTCGAAATTAAAAAATTCTAAAATTTTTTGGAATTCTACAGCACAAGAAAATAAAACGATAGGAAGATATGTAAATGTTACAATTTTTGATGTTTTATTCGTTTGATTTATCAACTACTGTTACGGTAATTGCATATTAAATTGGTTGTTTCTGTTTGTTGTTGCTTAAACTTTAATAAGTGTACTTGGTTTTAGCTGCGGCTGAATTTAATTATATTTGTACAAAATATATATTTACTTCTAGTTTTTTTGTCAATGAACAACTTGCTGTCTAGCATTCATTTTGGTTTTCGCCTCGCTTTCCCTCCCAAAGTCCAGCTTAAAACTTAATTCTGTTGGTTTTGCTGTTCGATCTGTCGGTTTGCTTTGTTTCACTACAATAACGCTTAACAAAATATAATTATTAACTATTACTAGGCGCGTTTCGTTTGTTGTTGTTGTTGTTGCTGTTTTTTTGTTTGTTGTTGTTGTCGTTTGCTTATTGCTGCAAGTTAATCTTGTCATTTTGAAAAAATTTAACTATAATTTCTACGTCGTTTAGTTTAATTCATCGTGTATATATATAAAAATATATATATATATAAGTAAGTATGTATAATTAGGCATTTAATTAGTTGTAATTTAATTATATGCATGTGTGTGTCCGTGTGTTCCTTTCTAAGTAATTGTATTATTTACAGCGTTTTAATAATTAACAATACATATGTATGTGTATCAATTTATAATAATTACACTTAGTTGCATTGCACAATAAAATTGCGCACATTCTCCTCCATCGGCATTCTTTAGTGGTAACTTAAAATTTGTCTATAATTTAAAGGTTTGTTTTCGGTTTCATTTGTTGAATGCGAACGCCTTGTTTCCCCAGAACCATTATTAATAATAATTAAATAATTTTCATTTATTTTGGTTTGCTTTCCGTTTTGTTTTTCGTTACATTTTCGCTTTGATTTTCGTAGTTTTCGATTTCGTATTTGCCAAAAAAGAGTCAACAAGAAAATGCTGTCCATAATATTCCATACATATCTCTACCATCCCGACCCCATCATATCCCCAAATTCTGCTGATTGAAATCGGCTTAAAGTAGTTTACAGCATTCACTTTTTGTTTTTGGCATTTAAAAATATATGTATTTCTTGTATATCGGCGGCTATATGTACAGCTTATATATCTATTTCATGGGCAAGTCTATTTCGATTGATTTTTAACTCGTTTAAGTCTACTAATGCACTATTAGTTGTTGCGTCTGTGTGAGAGTTTTGAGGCACCCATTATGAATTACATCGAATATGTTCGGGGACAGGTTGGAGATGGTGTGAAACAAATAAAACCAAACAAAGGGATACATTTCCATATATATATAAATATATATTTGAAATATATATTGTATTCATTCATGTATTTTGTTCTAAAAACGTGTTGTGATTGCTTTTTAAAAAATTAATTTAAAATTAATAAAATAGTTGCATTAAACATAATTCATATTGAAATATTACAAAGAATTTATAACTATAACTTTTCTTTATATAGGCGATAATATATATGTGTATATTTGCTAACATTTTTCTTTACCAAGGCTGCTGCAAAGCAAAATTAACTAAAACTTAAACAATTTAAAAAGCCGTTCCTCCTTTTTTTACTGTACGCATACGAAAACAAAATTCAACTAAAATGTTTGTGTTTTTTGGGGGGGCGGCGGATAGGGAAAGGGGGCTGGTTACTTGTTTTTTTTTCTTTTGAGCTTACAGACTAGACGTATAGCTAATATAACTTTTAATGTGTGTTTGTTGTTGTTTTTTGTTTGTGGTAATATCAATTAAAACTAGGCATAAATATAAAGCTTAACATGCTTAAAACAATTGAAAATTGAGCATAAGGAAATAAGTAAATGGTGTGCATATACAAAATACATACATATAAAAATTATACATTAATAACAAATCATTTCTTGTTGTTTTTTTGTTTCTGTTGTTGTTGTTGTGGTTATCTTCGTTCTGTTGGAAGGTTGTTGGTTTCGATTTCTTCTCTTTCGTTACTCCTTTTCTTTTGTTGACTAACTAAATTAGTAGCTTGTAGTAGATAATAGTTGCTAATTTGGCCTGACTTTCATTTAGACACGTTTGGTGGTGTTTCCGTTTCCGTCGCCGACTCCGTCTTCGTTTCCGTTTCCGCTGCATTTGCGGTTGATGTTGCCGCTGTCGCTACTGCGACTGATGCGTTGGATGCGACACGGCATCCCTGAGCGTCTTGAGGCCCGCCTGAACATACCGGAACACCTCGTGCATGGTGCTATGCAGCGTTAGCGGGCCGTTCTCGTGATCCAGTTTGCGGAAGAAATCTAAAAGATCGCAATATACATATATCATTGATAAGAAAACCATGGGTTTACGTTTCCTAGTTTTTAACTCACCTATATGATTGCCTGTGCGCACCAAACGATCGGCTTGATCCCACAAATCGTGAGCACCATTCACATAACTCAGATACTCATTCTGCTTGCACAGCTGATTGTGTATATCTTGAGGCACTATTTTGCCTGGCGGCGTATTCGAACCGGAGCCCTGCAATTAATATAAATTTAATAGGGATCTTCTATGGGATCTTCAGTTGCTAGCGAGACTTACCTGAGAGCCTACCGAGTTCGATGGTGATATGGAGGAAGGGGTGTTGCCGTTGACAATGTCACCCCTGCCAACGCGAAAGAATTCCGAGATATTGGCAATGATGGCGCGACAATTGGCCCTCCGTAGCTTATAAAGCTTCAGCGATATCAACGACTGGCAGCGCAAACTATTAAAAAGATATAGAAGGAGGCAAAACAAGATTATAAGCATTTAATATAACCATGATAACCATTATAATAACTGAAAAACAAGTTTCGATTCAATTTTAGTACGCATCCTCTAATTATTCTCTAATTTCGGTTTCTTTTTTAGACTTCCGATTGATTATAATAATTATTATTTGTACTAAATATATCCTAAGTAAGGACCCACCTGAGAATGGCCACTTTGTTGTGCGTTTCGTGCTGCCCGTTCGTTGACTGTTGATAAGGACGAAACTTAGTGGAGATAAATCTGCAAGTTGATAAGAGTTGAATGTTTAAGCCTGCTCCTGGTTCCGACTCCCCTTAATCGTGGGCGCACAAAGTTTGGCACACTTTACTCACTTAATGAGCGACAGGGTGTCCTTGTACATGGTATTGGTGGCCTGCTCGGAGCTGCAACGCTCCATAGCGTCGGCGGTCAGCAGGAAGTAGACAACTGCCTCCAGATACAAGGTAACCTGGTTGAAGGAGTCGCGCTCCGAGTCGGCGGCATGCTTTCGATTGATGGCCTCCTGCAGGAATTGATTGTTTTTTCTACGAGATAAAAGAATGAAATTAGTATCTGTAACTCAAAAATGATATAGGGAAAGGACCTGGGATCGTCGCTGGTGTGCTCCACATCGCGATCGAAGTAGGAGCGGTAGATAAGACGCGGGGGAGGCTCTGGCAGAGGAGCTCTTGCAGCCGAGACCGCTGTGGCAGAGGCTGTCGTGGCCGAGGGCGGTGTCGTCTGCACAGCCTCGTTGCAGGTGGCCGGCGCCACGGTCACCGTTGGCGGAGGTGGTAGTGGTGACATGGCCAGCAGCTTTTTGGTCGGACTGCCATTCGGAGCGGACACATCGCCACCAGCAGCAGCCGCTGCAGCGGCATCTTCGTGCAGCAACTGCAGCTTGTCGTAGGATAAACGATCGTGATTGGGCATTCGCTCGTGGTTGTTGGAGGGCAGAAGCACGGGCACCGGCAGCAGTTCCTTGCCCATCTGTAGCTGATCACCCTTTTCCTTTTTCCGTTTCTTCTCCTTGTACGGGCTGGAACTGGAGCTAGAGCTGCGCTTCCGCCGGCGACCAGGAGGAGGTTGCTCACGCTCCCGTTCTCGCTCACGTTCTCGTTCCCGCTCCCGTTCTCGCTCCCTGTCCCGGTCGCGCTCCTGCTTCAGCTGGAACTCTTGCTTCACGTTGCCTGGCTTGAATTTCGACTCGTAGCCGGCGTCCAGCTCGGGCTCCGGTTTCACCGGATGCTCGTGCTTGACCTTGGCGGCGGAATTCATGTCACCACCAGCATAGCCATTGGGCACATAGACCGCATTCGTCGCCTGATCCTTGGGCGTCAGATGGCCATTCTGCTGGGCGGGCGTGAGTTTCTTGAGTCGCATGATGCGCTCTCGCGAGAGCTTGCTAAGGTCGATCTTGCATATGAGGGAGGTGAGATGCGGCGTCGTTGTCCGCGCTGGGGAGGCCAGACCGGCGCCCAGCTGCTGTTGCTGGGTGGGCGTCATCCGGGGCTTGGCCATGATGGTGGCAGCGGCAGCCGTTGGTACCTGTGGTGGCTGTGCCGCCGCATCCAACTTGCCCTGCTGCTGCTCCTCCTGCAGGTCAACGATCACAACCTGGCCCTGCTTCTTGGCGCCGCCCTCCTTCGGATTGAAGATCCTCGTCAGCGTGTTAATCTTATTCTTATCGCTCTTGGACTTCCGTTCGCGCTCCTTTTCCCGCCGTGCCTCATCCTCCTCGCCGCTACTGCTGCTGCCTCCACCGCCGCCTCCACAGCCGCCACTCGAAGAGGAGCACTCGGAACTGCTCAGCTGCTGGCTATGCTGACTCATCGGAAGCGGCTTGTAGGGAGGCAACTGCTGTGTCACCGACTGACCACTTCCCGTCTGGTTTCTGGCCTGATCTTCCGGCTCGCTGCCACTGCTGCTCGGCGAACTGCTCCCGCTGCCCAGCAGCGCCTTTTTCTGCACAGCGCCAGTCTTGTTCAGCTTGACTATCCGACAGTTAGTATTCTGGGTTTCCGTGTCGTCGCTGCTGCTCGTAGAGCTGCTCGATTTGGAACTGGATCCTCCGCTCGAAGAGCTGTCCTCGTCGGAGCTACTGCTGCCAGCATGAACACTTGTGGGCTTCAGGGCGGCGGCGGCAACCAGCACAGGCGTGGCCACCTTCTTGGTGGGCGTGTTGCCGTTCGAGCTGCTCTGGCTGGAATGTTCACGTTTCCTCGCCCTGCTCATGGCCAGCGGTGTCTTGGCCAGAGGCTTCTTGGCAGCCGTCAGCGTGGGACCTTTCGTCTGGGAGCTGCTACCGGCGGATGCACTACTCAGGTTCCCACTGCCACCGCTCTGCTGCTGCTTTCGGGGTCGTCCACGTCCCTTTTTCACCGTATCAGCCGCAGGTTGGGTTTGAACTGAAACCGCTGAATGATCCAGACCCGGATGCTTGGGCGGTGGCTCATCGTCATCGCTGGAGTCCAGAATGGGGGCACTTGTAACCGCCTTTTTTTTCCGCGGTTTCTTTTGCCGCTGCTTGGGCGACGTGGGTAGCGGCAGGATGGGCGTGAGGGTGACGCTATTGCTCGGCGGTGCCTTCTGTGACTGCGTCGGTGGCACTCGCGTAACCGTTGTGATGGCGGCCGGAACACCGGGTAGCTGAAGAGTTACTCCAGGACCCGGCATAGGCACCACCTCGCCACCAGCCGCACTGTCCGAGCTGGTGCTTCCGCTCGAGGAGCTGCCACTGGCGCTGGTCCCGGAATCCGAGAGGCGGGCAGAGATTACTGCCTCCGCTGACTCTCGTTTGATTTTTGGTATCGCTCCTAGTGCCATCTCCGAAACAGCATCGATGGCCTCCTTTTTCACCGCCACCGGTGTGACACTAAGGCCACCTCCATAGCGCAATTGCTGCTCCTCGTCCTCATCCTCCTCTTCGCCCTCCTCCATGGCCATGTGATCGTCATGGATCTTCTCGTTCTTAACAATCGCCGTGGTCACATCAATGGATTCGGGTATGATTTGTGCTCCACCTGGCAGGATACCCGGCACCTTCATGCTTACATTGCCGGGCGAGACGCTTTCGGAATTCGTTTGATTGGCAGGCTTGTGGAAAAACCGACTCAGATTCCATTTGTTGCTCTCCGTTGGCGAGGGTGTCTTGTTCGAGGAGCTGCCACCGCTGCTCAAAGGGCCACCCGAACCACTTCCTGGGCCTACAACTGCATTGGAGTTGACAACGGATGATCCTCCACTGCCGCTGCCGCCACTTCCGAATCCACTAGAGCTGAGCAGCCCGGTTATTGTATTGCTGCCACGGGCAATGATCTCATGACGATACTTCTTATTCTGTGCCCCATTGGACGTCAGTGGTTGGGGCCGATGCTGTTGCTGCTGCTGGAGGACTTGCGGCTGCTGGAGGGATAATTGCTGCTGCTGCTGCAGTTGAAGATGCTGCTGCTGCTGTTGGTGATTGGGATGGTGCTGCAGATCGTTCTTGCTGCTTGACTCGCTGCCCGACTCACTGGAATCGGACTCGGAGCTGTTGCTGCTGTTGCCCGCCGATCGTCTGGAAGAAAATCAAGGATTTAGTTTGGGTTTGATACTCAATATTCTTAGTGAATTGACTTACCCTTCCTTCTTTCTCTGCTCATCTTCCGATTCGGACAATTCCAGGTCGTTCTCGAGGCTAAGGAATGAAATAAGAGTAAGGAATTAGTTTGGAAATAAAAGTATGTGTTCTTGAGAGGATGTCTTACCAGGAGTCTTGCTTCTCCAGCGAGTGATTCTTTTCCGTTTTGAGCGGCTTGGCCAGTGCCGGCGACGTGACCACGGAGGCTGCCTTGGGCGGAGTGGGTGGCAGTTGGTGCAGCGGCGCCAGAGGCTCAATCACCGACGTCGTCCCACCTGTTGCTCCGCCCAGGGGCAGTTGGCTGGCCTGTGGCGGTGTCGTTAACAGCGGGGCGATGGGCGAGGCAATAGGCGCAATGGGCGGGAAAAGTGACGAGGGATCCGATGATGGTGGTGAGCCGATCATATCGATGGCATATTTTTGTTTATTGGGCGCCGTCAGGTTGTAGTTTTCGCGTGTTGGCGCATGCGGCGTGGCCGCTATGGGATTAAGACCTTTCACCCCGAAGTTATTGGCTATATCGCTGAATATCTTGTTGAGAATCTGCAGCAGAGAGGGAAAAGAAAGAATCGTTTTATATAAAATCAGAAAACTTTTGCAGGTTGTAAACGATGCAGCAGTCACATTGGCAGTAAAGGAATGTGGGAAAAAACAACGGACAAGGTTCTAATTAAAAATATATAGATAATATTTTGAGAAACCTAATAGTCATTTGAAAACTGTACAGATTTCTTAGGCGTTTTCATAATAAATAAGTACTACTAGTAGAGCCGCTGTTCGTTTACAAGTTGTTTTTTATCACAAAACGTTTAAAGGTTGTAAACGATGCAGCAGCAATCTGGCAGTGAAGAATTGTCGAAAAATAAGGAAGAGGGCTCTATTATTTTATATAGATTATACATTTTAAGATACCTAATGAAGTCATTTGAAATCTCTGGAGATTTCTTAAGCATTTCATAAAATTTCTTAAGGATTCCAAACTACTCGTGCATCCGCTGCATCGTTTACAACTTTTTTAATCATCTTTTTATAATCCTACCTCCGGTGGTGGGGGTTGTTGTGGACCCGCTGCAGGTCGCTTACTGGCCGCTGGCGGTACAAACCGACCGCCGGTCCCATTGTGCAGCGCTGGAGGTAGTGGCCCCAGAAAGGACTTTTCCCGCCCATTGGGCATCTGGGTGGATAGGGGTGGCCCCAACGGCGTGCTGCTGGCCGGGACTCCGCCGCCGCCGCCGCTGGCATTGTTGTTTGTGGCGCTGGACGAGTTGCTGGAACTGTTGCTCGAACTGGATCTGGGCGGGCCGCGTGGCGGGGCCATGCCACTACTCGACGGTATGTCGTTCTTCATGGGCTGCCCCGGATAGCCACCGCGACCATTGTACGGCGGTTTGTTGTCCGCCTGCTTTAGATATGTCGGCGGTCGCTGTTGTTGCTGGTAGTGCTGATGTTGCTGTTGCTGCTGGCCGGGCAGCGATGAGCCTGCGGATGCGGAATTGGACCCTGCTGCTGAGGAGGCGGAGGCGGATGCGGATGCGGAGGAGGGTGAATGGCCCAGGTTGAAGGCACCTGGCGGCGGCAGTGGCGCCTGCAGGCGCGGATTGCCGGCGCCGGGCGCACTTCGACTGATCCCCACCGTCTGGTTATTGATGTACACCCGCGCCTCGACGAACTCGCCCAGGGCGGCGGTAATCTCCGCATCTCCCTCGGTCAGCCGTCGTGGCTCCGCGAATAGACTAGTCTCCCGATCGTCGATCTGTATGCCCTGCTGTCGTTCGATTTTCTCACGCTCACGTCTTTTTCGCCGCTCGTACTCCTCCATGCTGGAAAAAGTACAAAGATTGATTATTTTAGTAGGGTAAACAGGATATTACTGCCTTTTATTTTGGTTCATTTTTGTTTTATCCATTAATTTTTGGGTTGCAGTAACAGTAACAACATAAATTGGAACAGCAAACAAACATCACAGGTAATACAACAACAACAACAAACATGAGGCGTACAAACAGCTGGAATTTTTAGAGGTTTCGCCCAGGACAAACAGTTTGTCATGCATTGCGTGCTTGGGTTCCAAAGTTCAGATGGGCAAAAAGCATTTTTCGGCTGATACTTAAAGAAATTTTGTTAGTATCCTCACTTCGCTTACAAAATTGGGTATGGTTCTTATTATTAATTATAATTATAGATTTCGGTGGTCGTTTTAATGCAAATTGATTCGTCAATGGACCATCTTATATTAAGTAAATGTATTACTAAAAATGTTACTCGATCGATTGAATTAATATGTTTTCACTTAAGACCTCGGCTTAACTGTATTGCCTAAAAGGTTAAGGTGGGGCAAAAGCGACCTCAGGTTACCAATCGCATTTGATCGTCCTTTTTCGTGGTGAAAGTGTTAGTTTATTCTGACCCTGTTATGAGTTTTTTTTTGCATCAAAATTGTATAGTTAACTCGAACGTTTGATTAAATTACTCAATTTAAAATACATAATAATAAAAAAACATCTTTTTTCTTACGTAACAATTTTTCAGTGCATTTTTTGTAGCACTAAAGAGATGAACCTTCTTCTCTCAACTCAGTTCCGTTGTCAATATTTGACCCATCCTTGTGGACATGGGTGTTGTTAGGTGTCAACAGTTTGACAAGCATACGGATAGGTGTCAACGGTTAGACATGCACACACGCAAGCACAGTTTGATGGCTATGAAAAGCTTGGCTTTCTATTTAAGTTTTTTTTGTTTTTGAGGGGAAGCGGGGGACTTTTAAATTGTGCAAATGTTTGCATTTGATTTTGTCTGGTTTTTCAGTCTGTCTAGTTGTAGTGGAAGTGGTAGTGGTAGTGGTGCAGACATGCTTGAGAACACAACAAATATATATGACAGAGCTATGTATGTATGAAGAGCGACACAAGAGAGTGGGAGAGACGGAGACGAGGACAGACACAGACAGAAATACAGACAATGCAGTGACTCTAAAACTTACTTATAATTTTGGCTATACAAATTGTTATTGTATTGCTGTAGTTGATCTAGTTGTTGTTGTTGTTGTTGGGGCTGCTGTTGCTGAAGGAGGAGAATGCTGTTGTTGTTGTTGCTGCTGCTGTTGTTAGTGTGGTGTTGCTGTTGTAGTTGTTGTTGCTGCTGCTGTGCCATAACGCGCGCTTAGTACAAATAAAATAATTAAATTATCCTCAGCTGAGAGGGCACACACACACACAGACAGACAGGCAGACAGACACACGCACACAGCCAAAGGATGGGAGGGTAGGGTGGAAAGGGGGGTGGTGGGGGCTTTGGGTGTGTGACTGTGCAACTAATCTTCTCCTCTCTTTCCTACTCGCTCTATAACTATCTCGCTCGATTGTTCGCTTATGTTATCGTTGTAATTTTGCGACGTTGAAACGTCGCTTTGTTGTTGTTGCTGTTGTTATTGCAATCGCAATTGCAGTTGTTGTTGCTGTTGCCGCTCTTGTTGTTGTTGTTGCTTCTCTTGCTTTGCTTTTGTTTTTGCGCCTGCAACATTTTGGAATTCTGCAGTTTGACAAGCACTATCGTTGTTGCTTTTCTGTTTGTTTGTTTGTTTGTTTTTTCGTTTTTTTTCCTTCTACACGCAGACTTTTCTCGTAAATGCTGAATTTGATTTGTTTGTTGGGGGATTTTGATCGTATCTTCTATAGTCTTTTATTGCTTGAGTACGTTGCTAAAAGTGTGGGTGTGTTTGTGTATGTATGAGTAGAAAAAATAAAGTTGCAGTACCTGAAAGAAGAGCAGAGAAAAGAGAACAAAATTAGTTGCCTACTTCTCAGGGCTCTTAAGATTGTAATAGAAAATAACCAAGGAAAAATCGACATAATGATGTCCTACAAAAATAAATAAGTATAATAATAAAACCTTTATAATTAAAATACATTATTTAAAGAATTTTCTTAAAATTCGATATTTTTGGCTCAGATTTGAGGGGCCAAACCTTATCAAGAAGTAATATACCCCTGTATTTTACATGTATGGGTATGAAAAGTTCTAAGAACTAAAGCCGAATGGAATTTCCGCCAACAGAGGTCCGCTCAAGTGCTCTGGGGTGGAACTTAATAACTTTTTAAGATTTAAAAAAACACAATAAAAGCGGTTGTAATATGTTTTCTTAATACCAGTTCATTTAAATATAAACAGATCCCAAAAATCGTGTTGATCCAATTAAAGATACAGTTTTTACATGTTAAGAACCCAAGCTTCTGGATTTGGGTCCACCCTAAGTACTACACATAAGTACTTGTATCAGGCAGCAGTGAATGTCACTCGCCTTCTCATTATGCAAACGGAAACCCAACCACCCGAACCACCCACATATGACTGCGAGGATTATGGGCGTCGCGCGTCAGATCCTGTGTCCTCAGTCCTTAGTCCTCAGTTGTCGCCGCCATTTGGAGAACTTGCCACAAGAACTGGAAGCCGAGAACCGAGGAACCAAGGAACTGTGGCATCTGCTTGGCTTGGCTTGGAGTGCAGCGCTTAGATTCACTTAACCCGAGACGATGTCCTTTTGGGCGTATTCTTATGGAAAAATTGCAACTTGAACTAGACTGGCTAGGTGGCTTTAGAGAAAGAACCTCAAATTTAAAAGGCTGAAGACGTTGTCTATAAGCCTTCGGGTAAAAAAGCAAAAACTGAAAGATGAACTGCAAAAACAAATATAATTGTTTACATGGAAACTAAGAAAAATATATAAAGAAATATAATATTCATTTTGTTTTGCTAAAATCATATTGAAAAAAAATCTTTAGGATCTTTAAAACCAATTAAGAAATGGCCTCTTCTTAATTTATGTCCCTTGCCATTTTTTCTACTGCTTTCTGAAATATAAACATATTTTCTTTGACTTTTTGTATACACCCTAAACACCCTTTTCTTTGATACATATACTTCAAGTTTTTTTTTGGTGTGGGAGAAAAAGTACTTTTTATTTATGAATGGAAAACGTGTCAGTTAAATTAATTTTCTGGTCACAAACGACAGACGCACCCAGATGACCCTTTTTCCTTGCCATTTTGCCCAGTTTGAAAAAGGGACAGAATGAGTGAGTGAGTGTAGAGAGTCACAAATCTGTTGGCTTTTGGGCGGCATTCACTTTTTTGTGTTTCTGCAGCTACAATTTATTTGTCTTATAAATTTTGTTAACATCTCAACTGAAGGAGATCCAGCGAACAGCAGTCAGAGAGACAAACATTTAATTATTTTATTTCCAAAAGAACTTTTCCTACCCCCACAACAGCAACAACAAGAACAGTGCTTGCAAATAGTTTATGCACGTCACCGAAAATAAATGGAAGTGGGGTAGAAAAAGCTTGACAAACTTTCTGATGCTGGCTTTTCTGCTGGGCCGCCTTTTTGGTTTCCGGCTATTGCTTAATTTATATGTATATGGTAGGGCTGACAGTCCACAGTTCAGGGCAAACCCACCGAACTCATCCACCGAAACACCCAAAAACCCGAAAACCCATCCCAAAAACCTTCCCCATCCTCTGTGGCTGCTTTAATGTGCGTCCATTTAATCTAAAGCTACTATAATTTGTCCTTTTCTGTGTGTGCGTTTCAGTTTGTGCGTTTCGGCTTTTTGTATATTTGCATTTTGACTTTTGCTCTAGAGCCTGGGAATTGCAATTCCATTGGTGGCTTTTATAAATAATTTTCACAGAGCATTCAAATAGTACGCAAGTGGTACTAATCTGAGGCTTTAACAGGTTGCGAAAATACAAGCGTATTTGGTTATGGTCAAATAATCTAATGAAAATAAACAATATTCTGGATAAAGGACTATCTAAGAACGTTGTGCCCCTCAGTTTTGAACTCCTATAAATTTTTTGAACATAAAAAATTGAAAAACATACTTCTAAAAGGCAGGTTCATGATATTTTATTTAACTTGTTATAGAAAAAAATTATTTTTTAAAAGTTTTTTATTAAAAACGATATTTTAGCGTCACCTTTTATTACTCCTCTTAAAGTAGGGTTTACATAAAAATGATAAATACATTCATAAGGAACTAAATTATATTCTTAAATGCCTTTCTTCTGTATTCTTTGTCGAACAGCCTTTGCCGAACTCCTGTTTCATCGAACTTTTCACACATGTCTATCTGTTTACTTTCTTTTTTCTTCAGCAAATACTGTGACAACGAAACAGTCTCGAGCCCAAAATCATACAAACACTGAGGAAAAATAGACTCCGACTCTTAATGATGATATTCAAGAATAATAATCTTTAAAATCGTAAAAAAAATAAAAAATTCCTTCGACATCATATTTGTTTTTAAACCAAATATTACTATTAAATAGTAGCATTCTTAAATTTCAGTCAGTAGATTTGTTTTCCAGTGCAGGCTCCAAGCGAGTCGAGTTCACACTCAAAGGCACCTCTGACGCCTGTGTTGGAGGGCATATGTTATGAATTTTATGCAAATATGTTTTCGGAAGAGCACTCCCCCAACTCCCCAATGGCACTTCCATTTTCCTTGCAAGAGTTTAGCACAATTCGCGACGTTATAAATTCTTATTTGTTTGCCGTTTTCCATTGGGTTCGCTGCTCTATTAACATTTAAATCGTTTTTGGAGGTGTTGAAAAAAAAAACAGAACAAAATTCGTCTGGGTTTGTTTCTTATAAGTTTTATAAGAGTAAGAGGGCATTTTTCTATGTTAAGAAAAGTTTGAATAACAAGTGTTGATCAAAAAGTTAAGCCACTTTTAACTTATTGGAAAAAGAAATCCGAATATATTTTCGGTTGTTTTGTTTAATCTTAGTTAGCTAACATATTTATTTTGGTTCCTTATAGAAGTAAAGGTAAAGAAAAGGTTTTGTTTGGGTTTCGTTTTGATGATCCTAAACAGGAATCAGGTTCACTTCATTCATGGCTACTGCAGCCTGCTCATCGTGAATCATTTAACAACATGCACAAACATTAAATTACGCATGGAATTCCTTTTTACCGAGCTGAGAGGAGAGTCCCCCAGAAAGCAAACCCCATAGCCCCCCGACACAGGCAATGGAACAACACACACAACACACAAGATACAAGCTCTTGGCATAGAAAATTCAATTCAATTCAGGGGGCAGCAGGCGCAGGATGAAAACAGGACGAAGGACGAAGGACGAAAGACGAAGGCTGGATGGAAGACCAAGTCAGAAACGAACCGACGAACACATGCGACTAATTTCATATTCATATGCATATTTAGACTAACTACCAGCCGAGGGAGAAGGTGACTGCAATATACAGGGGCCGAGTACCGAGAGCACAAGATGATGACGTTGGGACGGCAGGAGTGGGCAAGGATATCACCAAGGAAAGCAAAAGGCAGTCACTGCACACATTGGCACGCCTAATTTATAACACAAAAGTCTACTTAACTCCCCTATGGAAACTACAAGCAGAGACGCCGCCACTAAGCCGCCAACTGGAGAGGTGAAAATAGAAATAAAAAGGAATCCAGATAGACCATTATGGGTTGACCGAAGCTTGGAATACCCATGATCCTGTAGAAAGCATTTGTAAAGGATATAGCCACCATAATGCACAGAAGGAAGTACCATAAGAACGAAATCTATAAATTCAAACTCCAAATAATATAATAAGTATTAGAGTTCTGAAGAATTCGCGTTTAATTCAAACACCAATTGGATAATGTATATCGATAATATAATAAGTATTAGAGTTCTGAAGAACTCGCGTTTTAATTCAAAGACCCAATGTATTAAATTAGAAAAATTTATATCGATAATATAATAAATATTAGAGTTCTGAAGAATTCGACTTATTTATTTTAAAGAAGCAACAGTGCCAGTGTCAGTATTATCATTTCAAATAGATTGGGAAATACAACATTTTTATTTTCAAATGCTCAAGAATTCGCGTTTTGATGCTCATTAATTTTATTTATTTTAAGGATGCCACTGTGTTTTTTTAGCATTAAAATAATTATATTTATAAATAAAAATAAAAATTTGTTTTTTCAAATGCTTAAGAATTCGCGTTTAGATGTTTCCCCCATTCATAAGCTTGAAAAGTTTCTTAGAGCTGGCTTATGTCTAGACCTAAGTGTTCTTTCAATAACATCAATCTTTTCGTTTTAAAATGTCCATGTACATTATAACACCTTTGACAAGGGTATTTCCA